CGGCGCCAGAAGTGGTGAACCAAACACAAAGTCAATGTCCGCAAAGTGTGTCACACCATAAACTTTTTCATCTAAAAATGATTTGCGTTGATATGTCTGCTCATAGAAATACACACCACCGGCGCCTCCCAACTGGCCATAGGCTTTGGCGAATCTATAGGTCGGGCACGTAGTCATTAGGTCACCAAACATGTCATATTCAGCCCATTTTAGTGCATCGGAACTGTTTTTATCAATAGATTTCAGGTAGAAATCTGTCACTAGTTTTTCATCGAAATTATGGTAAAACGCGTCAATAATTGTCACAAATTCATTAAAATCCTTTTCAGTTAGATTTGGTTTCACTAAACTCTGGCTTTGAATTGAGCCCTCATTTCGCATAACACCGGCCATTATATCTAAATCTAAGTGTTTAGAAATAGCATGCTTAATTTAAAATGATCAAGCTAAATCTATTAATGATTTATTATAAGATTATAAAAATTCAAACCTTTATTAAATAACTTATTTTCAAACATATTCTGTGCATTCATTGGTAGAAATTCAGTGTCCGATAGGGCAGAAAGTTGGCGTCTGGTGTCGTACCCGTCCATCAGCTCCTGGGCCTCAAAACCGCGCAAACACTCCAACCAATTGTCCTCTTCTTCTTCACTACAATTCATATTTTTGGCCAATTGTTTGCTAACGAGTAATGCCTCGGACTTTACCATAGGATACCTGTGCTTATTGTAAAACAGTGCCCCGCTTTGCATAATAGCTCTCTTGAATAGGCCTTTAGATAACGGCGATATAATATGTGCCGACACAGACTTACTGCCGGCGCTCTCACCAAAAATGGTGATCTGATCCCTATCTCCGCCAAACAAATGTATGTTTTCTCTAACCTAATATTATTTCATTAATTCATATATAAATATTATTTAATTAATTTTACAAAACAAAATATATAATTAAACACAATTTATTAGTACCCATTTGAGTGCCAACAACTGGTCATAAAAGCCGACATTTCCGGGCGCGTCCTCCCGATCCCCGTATAGGAAACCAAACGGTCCTAACCTATAGTTGACGGACACAACCACCACATCATTGGTGGCCAAAAGGCTAGCGTTGTATTGTTGCTGAAATGCTGAGCCGACAATCAAACCGCCGCCATATATCCAAAACATGACCGGTTTTAGGGGCGCTTTTAGTGGATAATCGGTGCGGACAGTAGGGGTCCATACGTTAAGCACCAGACAGTCCTCGCTTTTGGTGATATTTCCCATGCGATCAAATTCAAGCTCTTTAATAAATTTTTGTACACATGAATTGCCCGGTGCTCTGCCATCGATGTATGGCTACAGTAGATTAATTAATTTAATATTAAATAATTATACATTATAACCAAGTAATAAGCGGTTCACAGATATTATTTGTATTAGTTTTTGTAAAAATTATTTATTTACCTTAATTGTTTGTCTGAGTGGCACCGGTTTGGCAAACCTGAGTACCCCTACCGGGGGTTCGGCATAAGGTATGGCCAAAAATTGGTCAACACTTGTGTTCAACACATCGAGAGTTAGACCTTTAACTACACCAGAAGTTGTGTTCACTTCAACACAAACCGTGTATTCAATACTTATTATAAAAAATAATAAATGTTTCAATGAATTCATATTTTTAACAATAGTTTCAAAATATAATAATATTATACATTTAGTTTATATGGGTTATATAAAAATAGATATAAAATATAGGTCGACCATGGTAATTAATCTATTAAGTGCAAATTACAAAATTATTGACATTTACTGACTGAATAACATTTAATACAAATTGATTTAATAGATAGATGATACAAGTGTAATATCGGTACTAATAATACCATCAAGTAGAACTTTTAAATATTTATACCTTATTTACAATAATTAATGTGTAAAGCATTGACTTTTAGGTGACAAAAACCAGTCTTAAAGTCACTATAAAAGTTACTTAAAAATGGCTAAAAAGGTGCTAAAAAGGTGATAAAAAGTTAAGAAAAAGTTATATATTTTGCATCAAAATAATACATTCAAAGGTCAATAACATTCGTTTTTGAATTAAATTGTATTACAAAGTATTTTTAGAGGTTTTCGGTTTCGAAACTCATTCGTCTACCGTTTAACAACTGTTTATGAGTCGAAAGACGTTTAATGATATGCCGATTATGACTAAAAGCTATTATTTAAAAAAATTAATATCACATTACACCTGTTTTCAATTTCGACTTATTGAATATTTTGTGATTTATCAATAAATGGCATATAGTCGAAAAGTTACTTAAAAGTTACTAAAGGTGCTAACGTCCCAAAAGGTGCTAAAAAGGTGAAATAAAAATCTTCCAAAATACTCCTAAGGTGGTATATGGTATGCCCCCAAACTTTCAGGAGGTTCTCCGCTTTCGAAACAAAAAGTTATTTAACTTAAAATCAATGTTTTATTAATGCGCATCTATTTTTGGTCATTTGATAAATGGTGGGCCACTCCTGGATGTACCGCAACTCCAGGTCGACCCGTTGGCAGAGCCGGGGCTCAGCCCCTGTACTCCACCTCCCAATAAAAATTAGTTTAATATCACAGACCCCTCAGTGGGGGGCGAATCAGATATTAAGCTGATTAGAACAGATACTACACTTTGATCGGAGCCAAAAGGCCGAGAAGCGATGGCCGAGAACCTGTGCTCTATAGCCCCGCACCACACATATACTCGCGTATAACAATTTACATCTCATATAACGCTAGAGTTGTTATAATTTAATAATTTTTAAGTTTAATCATTTTCTAATTTAATAGTTATTTTTAAATGATTTATTAAAATGTGAATTTATATACAAATATATTTAAACTTAAATAATTAATATTTATTATAATACAATTTAAAACAATGTTTGGTCAATTCAAACGAAGCACTCATGTGAATGTCATTTACAGGTTTATTTAGGGAAAGCAGTTTATAATCTCTAATTACCTGTACTTTCACTTTATAGACGCATTGAAAACACGTTTTCAGTATTTATTCATTTCTGTTTCCGTTGTGTTTGTAAACTATAATTGCATTCAAAATGTGTTTAAAATTAATGAGTGTTTCGTTGATTGAAATGAAGAGTAAATTCAATGC